ATGCATGATTATTAATTGCATTAACTAATTAAACGTACAAATCTTCGAAGATGGGATTTTAAAAAAATTTGAGTAGTGACTCTTAAAAAATCCTTAGGTGAAAAGATTTCTCTTGATATTACCAACATACTGAAAACATTTTGAGAAATTTTCAATAACAAGGTTTCGATTTATTTTCAAACAATAATGAAATATTATTTTTAAAAAATAAAAAAGAGAAAATTTTTGAAAAAAAAAAGAAAAAAAGTAATATTTTGACAAATGAAAAAGGGATTTAAGGAAATTAATTTTAAATATCAAGATCAAGACATTTTTGACAAGATTTAAGGATAACGCATGATGAATTGTACCATTTTTAAAACAGGCACCATGAGAGTGCTAATCTTTTTCCACGCATAATTGTATTCTGAACTCAAACTATTTTGCAGACTTCACAATTAATTTTTAATAAAATTTTAATTAATTTTAAGATTTTATTAAAAAAATAAATTTAATAGGTGGCTAATCGTGTATAGCCACAAAAAAATTGATTGTGATTACTTTTATTTTTAAATTTATCTAGTGACCTCAAAATCATTATGACAGTTATGTCTAACGATAGGTTCCCAAACTTATATGTTATGATAGAATCCTTCCAAGGATAATGCCAAAATTTTGAAATTTAGTCCTTTTTCTGTGATCTTTCCCATCTTAATTAGGGTTTAACCCTTATTTAAACCCAATCACCCAACTAGACAAAGAACAAGCAATTCAATAGCAAAAATTGCAAAACACATTTTCTTTCATTGTTTTTGGTTGCAAGCTCATTAGTTTTAGATTTTTCTAGGGTGTTCTAGACTAAAGGAGGATGGAAAAAGTTCTAACAACATAAAGAGGAAGATCGAGAAAAATCCATTAGGTACTTACAAGATGTAACAAACAACCAAAAACGTTCATCACAAACACAATAATACATGAAGGTAGGAAACCTTGAAAAACCCAAACCTAGTAAAACACAAAAAGAGCCACAATCACAAAACTTGCAACCTAACACGGTGAGAGCATATACAGATAAACAACAATTTTTCAACAAAACACAATCACAAGCAGTTCACGAAAATTAAAAAATAGTGTTTTTGGGCAAATGGTGGTTGGTTTCGAAAATGCTTATGCTTAGACTTTTGGATTTTTAAGCAAGTAAGAAAGGAAAATAAGTGATCGAAGAACAATTTAGGTGTTTTGAGTGGTGGCATATGGTGAATTAAATGTTAAGTGTTTTAAACTTCAAATTTAGATTTGGAAGTTTTGGTTTAAATTTTCAAAAGGCTAAGTCGAAAGGTGTAAAATGGATAAAATAGAGAACCTAAAATAAGTTTCTTTTAGTTAACGATGGTTGATAATGATAGCCAGTAACAACATACGATGAAAAAGGTGAAGGTAGTCGATCAGATTCTGAGTTATATGGTGTTGTTCTTAGGTCTATTGAATTTAGGTATGTCAATGGGTAAGGTATGGAAGGGTAAAGCATGCCTCATTCCCATCAACGGATTTTTATATTATATGCATCCTTGTACCTAGGGGTGTAATCGAGCGAAGTCGAGCCAAATAGTGAAAAGCTCGAGCTCGAGCTTGACTCACAACTCGTGGCTCGATACTCGACTCGAACTTGATTCGTGATCGAATTCGAGCTACTCGAGCTCGCTCGATTAAGCTCGATTAATATGTAAAAATAAGCTCGATTTATATACTCGACAAAAGTTCGATTATTCATGCTCGAACTCGAACTTGAATTCGGACTCAAAATATTTTATTAATTAAAATAATAAAAATATATTTAAATATAAAAGCTCGATTAGGCTCGCGAGCTACTCGAGTCGGATATAAGAAAACTCGAATTCGGTTCGATCAATAAGTCGAGCTACTCGAGCTCAAGCTCGACTCGATAATAATCGAACCAAATTCGAGTTTTTTTCGAATCGAACCCGAGTAGCTTGCGAGTACTAATGTATCATTTACACCCCTACTTGTACCCATAAAAGATATTTTAAATTTATCTCTACTCTCATCTTGCAGATATTTAATGGGTATGAGTAATTCTCATACCCATAGTTTTCAAAAAAAAAAAAACCCAAAATTTATTTTTTTAGTTTTTTATTTTTATCTTGTATGTTTAGATAATTTTTTTATAAATATATACTTTTTCAATAAAAATTTATTAATTCTAATTAATCTAAAATAATAATTTAGATTATTTAATAAAAAATATATTTACAAAATATATAAATATATATGGTACAGGGTATGAGAGGGAGGCTAAATTACTCATTCCGAACTTTATACCTAATAAAAAATAAAATCATATCAATCTTTATTCTCATACCTGCAATGTAATACATATTTCCATTCTCATTCATCTAAAAAATTAGATTCCTCATTGATATTGGTAAAATTGATATCCTTGATAAAAATTTATAGATAGAAGATGGATAAAATAAAAGTTACACAGAGAAATGAAAATAAAAATGAAAAAATTTTGTTGGAAGTTGATTTTTATATTATCAACGAAACAACGCCATTCGGAAAATTTTGGATCCGCACATATACCTGCTAGTACCTGACCCATTCACCACCTGTACGACCCGACGTCCACTGAGCTGTGTTGACTTGGAATAGGCCCAAACACTTCGAGCTCTTTTCCAGGCTCGAGTCCGTATTGAATTGAACTTTAATCCAAGTTTTCTGGTATATTTGTCTTTCACTTTCATATTTAATTTTCTTTTATATATATATATATATCATTTATTTGTTTACTTGTTACATTACTTGTTTGTTTTCTTTTATTAGAAAATATTCTAATTGTTTGGTATAAAAATAAAAACAAAAGATTAAGTCTTAATAAAATAAAATTTTCAATTTAAGTTTCTTTGTATATTTAAAACATGTACATTAATTAAGTTTTAGAATAAATAAAATTTTCCTATGATGGAATTAATAGAGAAACACGAGGGTTATCTTTTTAAGAACTCTTAATTGAGAAATTTTCATCAAGAAAGTTGGGAGGATTTTTGAAAATTTTTTAATAAAAAGGAATTATCATTTACTTGTTAATAAATTAAATTAATTCATCAAGCTTAATTGTAAGTAATTTTTTTTTTTCAATGATGAAATTAGGAAGGGAACATGAAGGTGATTTCTTGAAAAATTCTTAGTCAAGGAGTTTATCCAAATTAGTATTACCTTGGGTGGATTTTTGAAAATTTTCCAATAAAAAAGAATTATCATTTACTTTTAATCAATTAAATTAATTCATAAAGCTTATTTGGAAATGTTCCAATAAAAGCAATTTTTACCTTTTTCATAAGATTCAAATTTTTAATTTTAAGTGAAGATTCTTCCAAAGATGGAATTAAGAGTGAAACACGAAGATGATTTTTTTGAGAATTTTTAGGTGAAGAGTTTTTTTTTTTAATTTAATTTTACCAAAAATAATATTGGAAAGGTTATTTGGGAATTCTTCAATAAAAAAGGAATATTTATTTATTTTTTTCATAAGATTCAAATTTTTAATTGTAAGTGAAGATTCTCTATAAAATGGAATTAAAAAGAAAACACGAAGGTGATTCCCTTAAAAGTTTTTAAGAGAGAAAATTTTCAAGTAAATTTTACTAAGAATGTTGGGAAAAAATTTTTGGAAAACTGTCCAATGTAAGGAATTTTTATTTGCTTTAATTTAGAAAAGATAAAAATGATGCCTAGAAAGATCATTTAATTAAAATCAATTTTAGATTATATATGATTAATTGATATCATTTATGATAGACATTGTAGGAAGCTAAAACCTTTTTACATATAACCGAACTTTCGAATCCAATTTTATTTAAAAATTTAAAACATATTCTTTTCAAAAATCTTAGTCAAGTTTAAAATTTCTTTAAGTAGGAAAATTGATTTAGATATTTAATCACATTTAAATTAAAAAAAAAATAGTGACAACTTCTCTTGTTATGTTTAGCAGTCAAATTTTAGGACTTACACATTATGACATACGTTATAACAGATATTAAATTGGTTGATTTTTCTAATTAGTTAGGGTCCATTTGGTTAGTATTTTTTTTTTTTTAAGTTTTTTGAATAAAAAAAGGAAAAGCAAAAAATTAAAAAAAAAACTGCAAATATAAAACAAATAACAAAAGCAAAAAGCAAAATTAAAAGCACTAATAAAATGGAACCTTAGTTAATATTTGTGACCAAAAAAAAAAAAAAACTGGAAACCAAATGGGTCGTAGATGGTGTCAAGTGTCCGAGACCCTATAGGAAGAAAAAAGAGAGATATTAAAGGCACTGCACTATTATTTGATTGCTGAATTGCAGAAGTAAATATATGCAGCAAAAGGTTTAGCCAAACATTACATTTACGTTAAAAAAAAAAACAAAAAAAATCAGTATTGTATCATACCATGAAGCTGGTGGATGCTACTGGAAATTTATGATAATTGTTGGGAACATAAAATCTCCATGCCTCTGATTTTAAATGAAGTTAAAAGAGTATTAATGTTGGTAGTTTAAATTTAATTATCAGAAAAAGAGATTAAGTTTTCTGAAAAAGAGTTGATCTTACATTAAACCAAAGTAAAAAATTAATGATCAAGGAATAAATCACACCAAGATTTTCTATTGATGTAACGTTGATCAGTATAACTGAGCCCTGCAATCTTTTGGAGAGTCGGTTTCCTTATGGTTTGCCAAAGGAATACATTCAACCAATTCATGTTCGAAACATCTAAAAGCAAAGAAGAAAAACGCCTCCACGGGGGGAGAGGGTGCGGATGTTTAAACGGTGCTCCACTTTGAAATCAGGAGTGAAAATTTGTCAGGCCAGCATATATAGCAGCATGTACATTAATCATAGATGTCAGTTTCTTTGGCTTCTCCCACCATATGAAGCGTGTACTATTAATTTTATGTATATCTTCATACGCTATTTTCAGTCCCAATGATAAGAGAGATGTGCTACCAGTACCTATCTCCATGAGGCTGCAGCCACAGAAATCACGAACCTGATTAATGAATCATTTTTTATGTTGAATTATTTCTGAATTTTAATAATTCACTTTCGGGGTTATTTCATACTTACATCATATGCAACAAGGGATCTGCAGTAGCTGGTGTTTGTGAGTACCGTGCTGGTGGATCCACACTCACTGTCTTTAAGGGATACTGCTGATCTATCAAGTTTGATTGGCCATGGGTATTGGAAGTTTTGAGCAGTGGCTCCAACGAGTGAAGATGACCGCTGCATCCTTACTGCCCTTGGGACATGATTTCTGCCTTCCATAGATGCCCTTCGCCTGCTTGGTTGCCTTTCAAATGAATCTGGCCTTGACTTCGGTGCACTATGTGATCTGACTTTGGCTCTTGAAGATTCTGTGTTGGCCATGTAATTGGGGAATAGGGGGTAGTCATATGACACGGATGGAAATGCAAAAGGAAGTTTTGATGGATCAGGTGTGGAGATAGCTGAATAGTATTGCGGGATGCTTTGTGCTATGCCGAAATAATAGTCCTCGAAATGACTACTGCAGGCTCTGGGGCTCATGTCAGTCAAAGCTGATGGTGCTGGAGATACCTGATAATTGTCCTGCTTCGAGTCTGCACGATTTGAGGAGCAATGAGTTGAGAATCTACGTTCCACTTCTCGTTCTGTTTGTGGATGGTGTGAATAGTTGGTTCTACTCTTCAAACTTCCCCTTGAATCACCAGGATCCATCTCTACAATCTTAATGTGTTCTTCCATTCCTCTATCAATCTCCTACATTCAGAAAAACCATATAGCAAATCGATTGCATAAGAACCTAGAAAGGTATTCTGACCGATGAAAATAAAACTACTCCTGTTCTGCTTCTCTTTTACTCACAAAATTTCCCTCAGGCGTCAGTAATAATATTGTTTGGCTTCTAGTTTTGGCATTAACTCTCACTGCTCTTTCAAAATTCCAATTTCTGAAATTCCTGGTAAGTTTTGACCTACTTTTACCATAATTGGTTGACCGAATGTGGTCCGAAATAGAAAAAAGAAATGAAATATGTTCTTTTTGAGATGTTCAATGTATCAGATAATTGCAAGAAAACTATGTGAAAGGCAAAGGAGATCATGAATTTGACATTGCTTATCCCAATTGAACATTATGGTCGATTGAATGAATTGAAACTTACATGATATGCATGCCTGATCCGGTGATCTGGTGTTGACGTTCTGTGGGGTGATTGTCTCTGGTTAGCAGGCTTCGAATCTTCAACCATCCGAATTCTCTGAGCTCGAGCTCTTGCTTGTGCTATAATCAATGCCTGCATGCATCGGAGAGTAGCAGTGGCCTGTTTTCTGACCAGTTGACCTCTTATCAGTGCCTGTAACTTTACTAGTCCTTTTAATGCATTCAGAGCTTTTCTAGCCTGTTATAACAACAATGAAACCAACTTCCATTCTCAATATCAAAATGTGTCAAATAGATACATTAGCTACCAAAATATAGGTGGACAGTTGAGAAGTTACATACCAAATATGATCGAAAGACAGACTGAATTTTTATGGCAGCAGCCTCTTCAGCAGCGGTGGCTTTCTCATTAGCAGCAGCAGTTAACCGGATCACAGCAGCTGCAACCTGTGCAGCTGCCACAGCAGCATCAGCAGCTGCTGCTGTGGCCACTGCCATAGCCATGGCACGCTTTTTTTGTTCATCCTCATTGTCCACGGTGGCATCCCGTGAAGGTGGTGGAGTAGTGGCAACTTGTTCTGTAGAATTAAAGTCCTTTGTAGGCGTTGCTGTGGCTGAAGATCTTCGAAAACTCCATCTTCTTTTCTCTTTAGGAGTTGTTGGTGGGATTGAAATGGGGGTAGTGGGATTCTCGGGGGCAACTGAAGAATTCTGATTATATGTGTATTTTCCTTTTTCCTTCTCCTTTTCTTTCTTTCCTGTCAAGAAGCTTTTAAGCCATTTTCCTGTCTTCCCCATTTTCCCTGTAAAATCTCTTTAGTTCACCATTGCACACAGAAGATCATACAAAGAAGATAGCAACAAGTGACATATAGATCTCGTAGGCTATAATATTGGATAAGTAGCTTTCAGCATGTAATGGGCTTCCTTAATAGAGCATACCTTAATTACACCTTATTTCTTCCTTTTTTCTTTTTTTTTTTTTTGTCTTTTTGACAGCCTAATCTCACCGCTGGTTTATTCCTTCTGTGATGTAACAACCACATTCGGAGGATGATTTCATAATGCTCGTTAGGTAAGCCCTGAATGATAGCTAGATTAGAAGACGAGAGGTGTAAACATGATAATTTATATATTTATATTATAAAAAATATTAATAATTCAAGCATTTATTTTATATTTTATATAAAAATTACATATTATAATTTATATAAATATGAAAATGTATATTTTAATATTTTTAAATTCATATAACTTTTATCACTTTTATATATTTTTATATTATTTTTATATCGAATCATAATATTTATTTTAAATTACCTCAGTAGCAATTTGTCTTGTCACGCCACCTGACACGGTCCAGGAAGATTAATGGCTGAGATTTTTTACCTTTGCTTAAACTTCATTTACTAACCCATTGTTGTCCTTTCAGTTATGACTCTATGATAAAAGTATCAAGGGTGTTATGGTAACTATGTACAGGTCAATATGTGGGAACGGGACATCTCAGAAACCATGTGAAAACGGGTCGAGAACATGCAGAATCCGTGTAAAATACTCGTTTCAGAGCGGGAGATCTATCCACTTGAGGTCTATTTTTGGGTTCGTGGATTTAAAACTTGGAAACCCTTTGTAGGGTGGGTTCCACTAGAAAATGTACAGAGCAGAGCTGCTCTGGTTGCTTGTTGGGTGAGCACGTGCTTTTCCTTTTTAACTGTTTCAGTATTTGTGTATTAGAATATATTAATAATTTATTATTATACTATATTTTTATATAAAAATAAAATTTAAATTTTATATATTATTTATATTAAAATTTTAATTTATATTTTTATATCATATTATTATATCATATCAAATAAAATTAATAATTTTAAATATACTATGATAATATAATATCAATAAAATATAAAAATAATATAATTTAAAATTTTAATAAAATTTAATATCATATTTTAAATTTTTATATTTATATAAATTATAATATATAATTTTAATATAAAATATAATATAAATATATAAACTTTAAATGATGTAAGGAATCCCGGATTGAAGGAGGTAAACCTCGTTGATACCAAGACCCTGTAACAAGTCATATCACCAGCATTTTTTTGTTATCCTCTCGTTACCAGAAAGCTGTGGGTCCAATGGCGATACATTGGGATGCGATCTGAAAAAAGTTGTTGGGAAGACAAGGGTAGTTTGCTAATTACTGTCGCGTTTTTTGGAATGAATTTTCCCACTGTAGAGTACTACTGAATAGGTGTAGACTTAATTGATCGACTAGGAATTTTATTGGAGTGTTTAAAGACAGTGAAATTAAACCTTACCTGTAAGAATTAACTATCGGCCTATGTCTCTGCACAACAATCAAAATTAAATGTCTTTATGTAGCTCCCATCCATGTAGTTGTTTAGACTTACTAACTAGTGTTTAATGCTGATATGAATATCTTCAAAATTGTTGATTAGGTCTATTAAATTATGAAACCCCACCCTTTCTCTTAAACTTTAATCTTGGTGATCTTATTATTTATAAACTATGCGAGAGAATATATATAAAGAAAATTTTTTTCAACCAATTATTAAATATCACACCTTCAATGAAATTTTTTTAAGTGATAAATCGATTATCACCATATGAATTAATAAAATTATTTAATTTAATAATTTAATTAATTAATTTTATGATTAATTAAATATATTATTTTACAATTGATGATAAAATACTTGATTTGATCAATCAAAGTTCATCTATAAATCATTAATTTATCTCTTAATTAAATTAAAATAATTTAGAGATAAATCCAAATTTCGACCAATCAAATTTAATTCATGAGTTATCAATTTTTATTTCTAATTAAACTAAAATTATTTAGAGATAAGATCAAAAAAATTTTTGAATTCCCCTAAAACTCTCTCTTAATTAGTAGATGATACTATAAATATAGTGCTTCTTTAAGTTACAATTCACAATTTATGGTTTTGAAAAAAAAAAAGATTTTGAAAACCAAAGCTCTGTCTAAAAGTCTCAAGAAGTGAATTTTGAAGAATTAAAGAAATGTTAATAAAACTTGCATTTGGATTCCAAAATTTATCAAGAAATTGTTCTTCGATCTTTTTTCCTCTAAAGGAATTAGATTAATTCTGTTTGTTCAAGATCAAGTCAACAAAAACCTTAGAAACATTTAAAAATAAGTCAACAAAACCCTTAAAATATTTAAAAATAAGTTTGCCTGACCTTTGAATTAGATTTTTGTGAAGAAAAGAATCAATGGATTTTCTTTGTATTTTCAAATATTATCATTTCCACAGGTTTGATAAATGAATTTATTATTTATCTCTAAATTTTTCCTGTCTTATTTTCGTATGTACAATATAATAAAGATGTAATCCACATATATGAAGGTTTAAAGATTAAATAATGAAAAGAAGAAAAAAATAAATAATATATAGATTTAAACCATCTAAAGTATTTGAATATTTACATTAGTTAATACAATAATGTTGAGATGTAAAACTAATTCATTTAGTAATAGTTCACTTGTCATCACGATTGAATTACCCAAAATAGTTAAACTTTGCATAATATTATATTATATTATATTATATAAAACAAAAAAAAATCAGCTAATTCAAAATATTTGTCGCTACAAAAAGTAATTCTGATCTTTGAAAGGAAACTTCTAGAACTGTAAAGTTTACTTATACTCTATTAAGTTAAATTTTCGTTAACATTAGATTAAACACCAAAAAATTTATTAATCTAAAACTTCATCCGCTGTAAAAAGTGTCATTAGTATTAAATCTTATCCTATTAACCCTCAAATATGAAAATGCTCTTGAAATATTTTCACATACCTAAACTAACTCCAAAATCTATTAGAGACGGCAATAAGTTGAGTTAATATGATTTTTTACTTGCCTCAACTCCAACCTCAATTTAAAAATATTTCCTTTGACTTTGATCTAATCAAATATTAAATTATTATTTTTATACTCAACTTTAATCTGACACATATATGTATAATCCACTTTCAACCCATATCCAATTCAAAATTAATTTAATAATTTTAATTTAGTATAATATTTATAAAATATTATTTTTATATAAATTACATTTTAATTATGTATAAATGTAATTTTTTATTAAGTTAACATCTTAAATTAATGTATTAAATAATATTTTTATTAATATATATACATATATATTTAAATTAAATTAAATTAATAATATTTTTTTTATATGTATCTCCAGACAATTCGAGATGGAATACTTTCAAATTCACTTTCAACCGATCTTGGGTTTTTTGTTTTTTTTTAAGAAATACTTGTCCCGCCTCTTATCCAACCCTTAATTTAAAAAAAAAAAAAAAAAAAAAAAAAAAAAAAAACTGCTCCCATAAAGTCAGGACAGATAAAAATCAGTTGGATACAAATTGTTTTACTATCTTGAAAATTTTTTTAAAATTAATTTAAAAAACAAATTTAACATTGACAAATATTAGTCAAAATCTTAAATACCCTAATAAATGTAAGTTTAATATTTACATAAATCCTAAATATATAACAAAATGTCACAATTAACCTTAAGAATTGAATTATAAAATCATATTCCACCCAAATTATACAATACTATAACATAATTGATCTTCGAATCATTTTTTATAATAAATATTAATTGTCTACAAAAATTAGTGCCAATTCAATTAGGGATAATTTTAATATATTTTATAGATATATATAATAGAATTTTCCCTTTTAAATTTGAGAATTAATTTATATGGTTCATACAATTATTTTTTAAAAAATAATATTTAATATGTTTGGATTTAAATTTTAGTAATTATAATTTTTTCTGTAAATTACGAGCTTCTTTGTAAAAAAAATATAAAATTTTCTTTTGGGGAATTTGTTTCCTCTAGTAAAAAGTTGAAGACATTGATGCCGTGCAAGCAAAATCCATAGAAATAAGAAACTCAATGGAAAGTCTATCCTACTCTTTGTATCAAGAAAATATTAAAAAGAAGTTTTCTATCAACCTCATTTAAATTAAATAATAATGTAAATGATTGTCTCCACACATAGCCATCATCAAGTTTAGAAATATGCTATAATAAATTAAAGGGTTTGTAGTTTTTATGACAGACTTCCTATCTTCTTTTTTTTTTTTTCTTAAAAAAGAAAGACAATATCTGCAATTCAAAAATTAAATAATTTGTAGGTGTCAAAAACATATGGTATAAAATACAAGAAAAGTAGTACTCTTTTGGCTAATATATGAGAATTGAAATAATGGGATTTGGATCCATCTTAGCTATGAACATGAACAATTTGTCTCATTAATATATACATATATGTATAAATTTTGGAAGGATTAGTTGGCAATCACATGGTGTGTTTGTCTGATCCCCGTTTTAACTAGATGCTCTATCCAGGGAAACAATGTGGGATCCTCAGCTTTTCATTTGCAATCTCTCAAATTCCTCGTCATTCAAATAATTAGAAGATTACAGGCATGGTTCTCTTCTCCTTTTTTTTTTTCTATTTTTTTTTATATTAACAATCATTTTTCAGATACAGGGGTTAAAATATAAAAAAGAAGGGTTAAAAGAATCTAATTAATGTTTCAACCAATAGAAACTTGCTTTTCTGTTTTTTTTTTTTAATAAAAAAAAAACCCTTATTTTTTAATTTATATTTTTAAGATTAAAATATTAAATAAGTTTCTGAACCTTTTTTTTTTTTGAATAAATCTCTATATTTTTATTATATTTAAATAAAATCTTATTTTTTGTTATATTTAAATAAACCCTTATTTCAAACAAAAGATAGATTTATATTAAGAGTTTATTTAAGTATAAATTAAAAACTAAATAATCATTTGGATATAAAATAAAATTTAACGAATTATTTGGATGTAA